AGGATTAAGAGGGAATAAGATAACAAATACAAAACATGTTAGCATCGAACACTGAAGTCCATGTTAAGTTTATACTATACTTATTCTTATACCATTAGTGTCACCTTTTCACCTTGAAATTATTAACTTAGATAAACACAATTGTTGTAACCCAATTTTGGATTCACTAAGATTTTCTCGAATGTTATTTTATTTGATTATTCATAACAAAAAAAAAGTAATAATAAAAAAAAGAAGTTTAAAATATATTTTCTCGAGTCAATTGCATCTTTCAATCAAAATCGAGTCCACCGGGTCAATATGGGTTAAACCATGTCGATTGGGATGAAAAATGAGTTTCGGGCAGTTTTAGGTCAAAACCGTCATTTTCGGACAAAACCGAGTCCACCGGATCAATACGGGTCCCACCATGTCGACTGGGATGAAAAATGAGTTTCGACCCGTTTAGGGTCAAAACCGTTATTTTCGGTCAAAACCGAGTCCACCGAGTCAATACGGGTCCCACCATGTTGACCGGGATGAAAAATGAGTTTTGGGTCATTTCGGGTCAAAACCGAGTCTACCAGGTCATTATGGGTCCCACCATTTCGACCGGGATAAAAAATGAGTTTCGGGTCGTTTCAGGTCAAAATTGTCATTTTCAGTCAAAACCGAGTCCATCGGGTCAATACGGGTCCCACTATGTTGACTGGGATAAAAAATGAGTTTCAGACTATTTTTGGTCAAAACAATTATTTTGGTCAAAAAAACCTGGTTCACCAAGTTGATACCCATATAAAGATTTTTTCGGTAATTAAAATTGATTTTTAGCAGTTGAAAAGCCTTTTATAATACTGATTTGAGTTTTTAATTGTACCAAACACTCGGTACACTGCGATACACCAGATCATAGCTCAGCCCATCCAGACCGTCCGATCAACTTGCAGATCAAGCCAATCACAGCTGCACGATCAGCTTATCTACGATCCAACGGTTTACAGCGTTCAAACACACAGGTGCACCATACTCGCGTTTACACCGTAACAAAGCTCAGAGTCTCTCTCTCCTCTTGCCGGCGATTCTCTCTCTCTCTCCTTTAATCTTCCATTTCCGGCCGTTTCAAACTAAAAAAAACACCACAGAAAGGTGCATCGTCTCCTCTGAAGTAAAACCCAGGTTGATTTACGCGTTTTCACCACGGAATCTGGCCGGAAAAAGGCCGCGACAGAATCTGCCAACTGGAGCTTCAAGTCGATGATTCTCCCTCATCAGCCATCAACGGCCGTCGAGACCACCACCATCAGAATCCTCGCCCTTAGATCTATCAGAATCAACCATTTGTTGGCCGGAAACTCGTCGGAAAATTTCGCCGCATGCAACAGTAGCTGCGTGTGAGCCACACGCGCCGCCAGTGGCATTTTTGTAAATTTT